GATATGGACAGAGGTTAGAATGGTACATTTTAAAACATTAACAGTGTATACATACTAAGGGGAAACTGATTATAAATTCTTTCAAGTTTTTGTGCTAAAGCCTGCTTCTCTGATGCTAGTTGTCCTCTAAACTTACTGAAAGTTTTCTGGTGTCAGGAGACTCTAAAATTGATTTTATAAGTGCATGTATAACGGGATACATAAGACCTATATTATGCTCTATGTGGCCAAAAGTGTGTGGACACCCCTTTTAAATGTTGGGATCAGGTGTTTTAACCACAATCATTGCTAATAGGTGTATAAAATCAAAAATGGAGGCATGCAAGTGCTGAAGCATGTAAAAATTGTTCCAAACTGCCCATGGAAACAATCTCAGAAGAAGAACTTGCGTTAGGAGTTGGCCAAGCAGTTGCACACAGGACTAAGATCACTATGCGCAAAGCCACATATCGGCTAAAGTGGTGTCAAGCATGCCACCTCTGGGCCCTGGAGCAGTGGAAACACATTCTCTGTAGTGATGATTCATGCTTCTATCTGGCAGTCTGATGGACAAATCTGAATTTGGTGGATGCCAGGAGAAACACCATCTACCAGAATGCATAGTGCCAAGAGTAAAAGTGACAGTAAAAAAAGGAAATGTTAATAATAATGCAGCATATAAAGACATTTTTGACAATTACATGTTTCCAACTTTGTGTCAGCAATTTGGGGAAGGCCCTTTCCTGTTCCAGCATAACCAACAAGCTCATATAGCTGTGATGGTCAGGTGATTTTTGGTCATATAGTGTTTACAGCACTGTATACACATAACTCATTATGTTATATAGACAGACAACAAAGCGAATCTCTCTCTCTCTCTCTCTCTCTCTCTCTGTCTCTGTCTCTCTCTCTCTCTCTCTCTGTCAGCTGCAGGTGTTCTGGCAATGTGTGTGTGCAAGGCCTAGATGAAGTCATGATCTATTCAAGATAAATAACAGTTGATTTTAATTGAATGACATTGAATATGATGTTTCAAATTTCATCAAATTATAATTTTAATTCTCCTTTAACTAAGAAAAGAAATACAAAAAAACACCGCTAGGTGGCGATAAAGACTCATAGCCCAGAGGAGGACTCAGGCAAAGCGCACCTGTAATTGATACATCAAGTTTCATTGCTAGCGTAAAAAAGAATGTATGTATTTTGGAGTAAATTATACAGGACATGATATTTTCTGGAGCTCTCCTATATTAGATAAAGTAGCAAAACACAAAAGCTTAGTTGCTGAACTAAAACAGGGTTCATATTTGAGTCTGTGCTAAAAAAGTTGCTGTGTTGGAATATGCCAGCCCTGCAGTTTGGGGAAGCTCTTCTGCTCTGGATCGAGCAATCAAAGATGAATAATTCAAACTGGCCAAGGGCGCCACATTTCCTTATCACTGAGGGACAGAAATGTCTGGAAGAAAATGTAAAAACCTACTCCAGCTTGATCACATCATAAAAAGTGGTAGTGGTTAAAATTAAACCAGTTAAATTGACCATGGCAAGTAGTCTGTGATGGTCTGGTCCTCCTTAAAGGAAAATTACACTGTTTTTTTAATATCTCCATTATTAAATGGTTAAGGTGCAAAATCATTTAGAGTGGTCTGATGCAAAATGCTCTGTTGCTGGACCAAAACTTGCTAAGTCAGAACTGTTCACAGTGGTGTTAGGAACCAGATGTCTGTAGAGTTTAATCCCTCTAAAAGACACTTTCTCCCTCACAGAAAGTTATTAGCTGAAGAGGTTATGAATACATTAGCTGATGTCTCAGACATTGTTTCACAAGAAGATTTTGCATGATTTTGCTTTTTAAAAACTATAGCAGAGAGGTACAGGTTGGGTGTTCTAAAACACCCAAAGTAGAACCCAAAGAAAACTTTTCTTTTCTGGATTTACCACTATTTCATCATTATCAGCATTACATACAAACACCTAGGCTATAACGCTTTGAAAAATAAATAAAATGGCAGTATTTTTGCTGCGGCTATATTGTGAGTTGGTTCCCCGATTTCTGTCACCACCATTGTAAAGAAATTTGAGCTGGTTAATTTCTCTACAATCAAAATTTCAAGAATGAACATTCTAAACATGCAGAATGACTTTGTTTATGTCTCTTGAATGTTGGAGAGGTGTATTATACCTGTGTGTGATTTTTGGGATTCACCATAATGTTTTCTGCTGTTCTATAAATATTGCTCTCCACTGGTGTTGGTCTCATCAGCTCCAAAATTAGACCAATTTTGACTTTAATTGCAAAAAACCCCAAACAGACACTGAACAGACCCCCAAAACTGTGGCCCATGAAAAATTCATACAATTCATCTTACAAGTTAATTATTGAGTTTCAACTTATCTCTCTTAGTCATTCTAAAGTCACCATGAATATGCATTACTGCTGAGTAGACTCTATGCAGACACTGTGGACAATCTCTGTTCATCTTCCAGGATGTAATTTATAAGAGCACTGTCCAATTTCAAGTGAGAGTGTAATTTTTTAAAAATATTTATTTTTATTTATTTTTTAAACCATTCAAAGGCATGAAGAGACACCATCACTTAACTGGAAAGTTGGAATATCAGCATGAATTTATATTCAATGTTGGTCTATGAAGAGATACACATCACATTTCATGACAGTGCAGAAATAAGTAATGAGCAGCTCTAAAGGTGAGGTCATGTAGCTCGGTGAATATGCTCCATGTAACACGCTGCAAGAATTCAATTACATCTCACAAGCTGAACTGAGAGCTTTTAACATTTATGAAGCAGGCAGGTGGCCCAAGTTGCATTACATGTTAACAACTTGGCTGTACAATGTGTTCAATGATGTGTAAAGTTGTTGGTTAGAAAATAGATTCAGAGAGTGAGAAAATGAGAATACAAAGTGTTGAATGCAGTATTCTAATAGGCCTCTGCAAAGCTAGGCAGGTCAGAATGGCTGCTGCTTCATAAAGTTAAGCAGAATGACACTTTTGCTTTAGTTAGACTTTTTGCTCCTTTTCGTTTGGGTCTCTTTAAGAACAAATGTACTCTCAGACATGTAGTCTATCAACTGACCATTGCTAATGCCCCAACTTCTGATTGGCTGTGCGTTTCTATAGCAACAGGGTAGGCAGAAAGGGTTGAAATAAGCCATGACTGGGGTCACTGTGTGCTTTAGTCCTGCACTCATTAGTCTGTCACACATCAACTAATATCATTAAGGTAATATCACACACTGACTCATGTTACCGTACATGCTAAGAGAGCTCCTAATTGAACGAGTCGACTTGATGGAAGATTAGTTTCACTGGCGGTATTAGCAGTTTTCACATCATGAGAGCATGAAATTAGATTATTTTGCAACACACAGATCACTACGGACTCATTATGTTCAAAAGAAATATCGGGGATCACCCCAAAAACAAAACTAAAACTTGTTTTTTGATGAACTGTGTGGATCCAGACTCTGAAGAATACACCATATTATGGGTATCATTTTCCCCCATACATTAAAAAAATTATATTTATTAACGTAATTCAATTATAGCACACATTTCCATTCAATCAAACAGAGTCAGTACACAAGGACTTTGTTACCTCAACATAAAATTCAACGGTTGATGGAACAAAATTGAAATATTTCAGTCCGATTTATTTCATTTTGGTATTCTGTTTGGCTCAACATGAACCGTTTTCATGTATTGAAATGCACTTTCACGCATTTTTCTTCATTTACATAAAAAATACTTAAATACAACACGATTAATGTATTTAATGTCAACATATTTCCAGTTTGTAAGTCCAACAACCCTGTTGGTTCATTTTTGAATGTATCATGGCAAACCAAAATTTCCTGACTTTTTTAAATGGAAGAGTTTGATGTAGTATGTAAACTTTGTTGGAGTTTCAAAACATACCATTCACTCTCCAGTTCACAGTTCATATACAGAAACCAAGCTACAAAAACATCCTGTTTATGTCACAAAACAGCATTTCAGTATATCTGCCTATTCAGCCTACAGTAGTTAATCCTCACCCACTCACACTGAAGTTATAAAGTGCGTCACTTTTTGAACAGCGCAATACAGGTCAGCCAATCAGATTAGAGATCATTACATATATCAGCTTAAAGATACAGTAACAAAAACGGCTTGTTTAATTGTGAGGAATAAAGAGAAGGTCGAATGTAACCCGTGTGTGGTATTCGGGGGTCCCGTGTTGTGTGGCTTCTCCAGCGAATCCTGGAAGGATCCAGAGATCCAAGAAGTTAATTATGAGGTCCTGGTTCATCTCAGACCCCTTTGTACTTCACGCCTTGAATCTAACCATAAATTATGACCGGTTTTGGTGCTTAAAACAACACAAGTCGATCTCAGGGAAAAATAAATTATATGCCAAAGAAGGGGAGGATATGGGCTCTTTAAGATCAACTGTGGAGAAATCCAATCACTCCACCCAAACAATGATTTTTTGATGAACTGGTGGCACTTTGAGGCTTCTTTCTCTGTAGAAAGAAAAATGAAAATTGATCTTGGAGGGAATAAACAACTCAAAATAAACAAAAAAAACTCATTTTTCATGTAAGAGTGTGTTGTGGGGGGGCAAATAGACAAAAAACCCGTTAAACACAGATTTTCTCTGAGCCTCGTGAGTAGTTCACCTGTAGTAAGAGATGGGCGTGGCCTTCCGCTCTCTGAGAGAGAGAGAGAGAGAGAGATAGGAGGTTCGCAGAGGAAGATGCTGGAACAGCAGCTACGGCTGTGAGTGAAAGCCCACGGCGACGCTACTCAGGAAGATGTAGAAGAGAAGTAACTGACTGTTCTTCTGCGTCTTAAAAGCAGGTCTCGTGCAGCCGCCGTCCTGACAGACAAGAGGAAAACTGTCCGTGTCCGGTCTTCGTCGCTGACTACGGCAGGTGAAAACGGCGGGAAAGCTGAGGAGAAGCGCTGCCGACCCCGAGCATTCACTCCCCCCTCTGAATGAATTTTCCCGCGGGCTGTCTGTTCATGTGGGGCAATGGAGAAGGTGGTGTCCTGGAGACTCGGAGCCCTGCTGTCTCTGACTCTGCTGTGGGTTTTCCCAGGTAAGTCGAAGCTGCAGTTAAAGCCTCCGTTCAGGGCTTGGAGACTCTCCAACTCTGCTGGCTCGTTTCCTCGCTGTTGTCTTGACTAGTCTGGGAGGAAAGTTTAGAAATGTTGGCCCCCAGAGGGACTAAAGCTGCTCACTGGTTTGTTTTACTCTCACAAGGAAGGTTCACCAGAATTATGACTTGTAAAAGTAGGTTTGCTGCTCAACAGCTGAACATTCTGAAGAATATCTGTGATTTCTGAGGAAATATGGCGGTGAATTTAGAAGAGAAGCAGTAATTCAAGTAAACAGCTGCAGAATGTTTCTCTCGTGTTACATTCCTACTCGGCTTACTTCTACTTCAGTCAGCTCAGTAATACCATGAAGACTTAACAAGCAGACCTATTGTAATGTAGTCTGTTGGTGTTTGGTGGTTGAATGTGCTGTTTGAGACTCATATGATCTCGTGAAAAAACTGCTTCACTCATTCGAGACCCACTGACGTGTTTCTGTAGGCTTAATAAGCTCACTAGAGGTTACACTAGAAGGACAACCCCCCCAAAATTAGTTTTATGTCATTTAAATAATGTCATTTAAATAAACACTTTTTAATAGGGATACACTGATATGGGAATGTTGGGCCAAAGCCAATATTCAGTATTTTTCATGTGCATATTTGCTGATGCTGATACATAAACGTGTATACAGTGTAGAAACTAGGGGTACATCTACCTGGATTAGCATTACACAGAAATGTATTTCTGTAAAGTTGCAAGAACAATAACTTGAGTGAAATGTTGACATTTTAGCACAGAAGCACAGTGTAACAAGTACCTGCCAATACTGATAATATACAGATATCATTGTGCATCCCATGACTTTTATCACTGTTTTAATTCAAAGAAACAAAAATGCTAATATGCAAATTTTGAATATAGTAGGCGGCAGTTAGCATAACACCAAGAAATCTTCTGATTTTCTTTCCTATTTAGGGTGAAATATTCCTTGAACTAGGCTAATTCAAAAATAAAGTCAATTAGCTGTTATAGATTGTATTATAAAAAAACAGGATGTGGAAAATGTACTGCTAAACGACTGTAGTGTATAACTGTGACTCCATTCTCTTCACCCAATACGGTGACACATTTCCCTGTGCTACATCATTTCTATTTTGTTTTTGTCTTGACAATGTCCTATTTTTCTTTTTATTTAAGGAGGTTATGCTGTTTTATGTGCTGTCCAAAAGGAGTGAAAGAGACAACCGAGTCTAGATGACTGATTTCTAGTGCCAGTGTGAGCACTGTCCAGATTAATCTCTAGCACGGCTGAAGTCAAAGGAGGTTATAATCCCAGGAATTGCCTTGACATTTTTACATGCAATGGCAAGGTACAAATTCACTCTCAGACCAGGCTGACGAGATTAAACTGTGAGTCATGTGCTGCAGTGTTTTCTTTGGTCTTTAGGTGCTGAAGGACGAGAGAATGAGATGTGTTATATGTGCTGTTTGCAGGGGGAGATCCCAGACGAGGGATTATGGGACATTTCCCTGTTCCTGCTGGGGATCTCCCTTCCTACCTGCTGAATTTGTGAGGCCAGTCTTATCTGCTGTGGTGTACGACTCCGTGTGGTTGTCTCTGTAGTGGGCAGATGAACGGACACTACAGAGAATCCAGTATTACCATGGAGCAGGCGTGGATAGAAAGAAGCTGATTTTTATAAAAGCATAATGAAATTATTTAAATTGATGCATTGATTCAACAAGAGTGAAAAGGTCATTGCAATGTTGGTGGATTGTATTTAAATGATGTATTATAATAGGATAAATTCAAATCTGTATGTAAAGGATATAGTTTCATCTTACTGTAGTGCCAATGTTTAGAATGTCTGCATAATTCAATTGTTGAGATGTAAACAAAGTTATTCAGAGCGGTTTGATGTGAAATGATTCATGGTAAAGAACATGCTGGGCCAGATTCATAAAATGCAGAGGCAGATTTACACTGACATTAAGAGCAAATAAGGTAGCACATTTGCTCATTCATAAGCGAGGATTACCGATGTGTGATTGCATGATGTGAGACGTGGCCATGCATTTTCTTTATTCAAATGTGCTGGTAGTGATTCATAGCACAACACAATTGCGCAAAAATAACCTAAATCACTTTGGCGGTAAGTTTCCTGGTAAGAAGACACTGTGGCTTAAATTGTATTTTCTACAGTGTTTACAAACATATGCATGTAAGTAATCAACAAATTATGTATGTTCAACCCACTCAGCTGATTAACCAATATATTTAAAAGACACGATTTGGTCTGTTTGGACTGAGCAGCGTGGCAAACCTTCTAACTGCTTGCTTGAGTGGGATTTCAGACTGGCAGATTTAGCTGCCGCTGTACTTAAAACAGCCTCTTCTTCCTGCATCAAGTTCTGTGTTTGGCGAATACCCCTCCTGTGTGGAAAGGAGGTTCAGCTTTGAATCCAAATAATTGAAGAGGAATTTGATTCTAACTATGTTCAAATTGATTTTATTGCAAGTAGTTGTAGTTTGAATCCAATTTTTCAATTTACAATGGATTTTACAGTGGAATTCAGTTTACACATATGAAAATGACTGAAATGAAATGATTTAATAGTAAAAATTCATTTCTTAGAAGTAAAAACTGAATTTTTACTACTCTATATTTAACATTTACTTGCAGAATTTTAATTCTCAAATGTTCAGATATTACTGGGTAATATAACTATATACATTATATTAATGAATGATGTCACCATATAATACAATATGCGTTTCTGAGCATATCTTGGATATTATCAGTACTTGTAGGGATTGTAGGGACTGTCCCCCTCCAAGTCCCCCTTTTCATGGGAAATCATGATATAAAGGTGCTGCAAAAGGTCCTTGCATGATGCTATAGAATAACCATTTTTGGTTTCCTTAAAAAAACGTTCAAAAGATGGTTCTTTAGAGAAGTATTTTTGTACAGAAGATCTCCATAATGAACAATTGTGACTCATTGTTTTTGTCTAGAACGGTGCATTCCAGCAAAGCATGCTGAAGTCTTTGTTTACAACAAGACAGTTTCTGAACTTGGCACTGTAGCGTAAGTGGCATGTACTCTGTTGTGCTGAATATTTTCAGAGGCCTACCATAAGGCACCACCCCTTAACCCAAGCTATAATTGAAATAATCTCTTAGGAGAGTCCTGCCTAAGTACTGTTTAAAGTCTTCAATTCTGACACGACATGAGCGCCATGATTTACAGATTTATATCTTCCAGACATTTAAATATGCCACCGTTCGCTCAACACAGCTGCTGAATTAGCACTGTTATTCTCAAGTTTATGAGATACCGCACAGTGTGGAAAGCAATTATTGCAAGCAATTATGTCATTCAGTAGAGTGACGTTAATTGTCGTTACATTAATTGCTTTCTGAACACCACCTTGGTTTGGTTCTTTTGTAAGGGCTGCGTATTACTCATATCAGGTTGCTGATGCTTAGCTTCTTTCAGTGATTTCATAGAAAGAATTGTATTTCTGTTATAATGCTGTTTGGAGCAGTGTGGATAGCAAGGGAATTTACTGACACTCTTGGCAGGTCTAGTGTACAAATCTGTCATTTCAATGACCCGAGTCAGCAGGAATAGCTTACAGTAAGCAGGGCTGCTGCCTCTAATGTAACCAGTGTGTTTCACGTCAGTTTATCCTTTTTGTGCATTAACTTTTTGACGCTAAAGTGAAACATCACACACTGTAGAAACAAACATCGGGTATATAAATGATATCAGAAACAGTTGTGGTCAGCACCACTTGCCTGGCCTACTCAGCTCATGTAGGTTAAAGTGTCATTTGTTGTTTATGCTGATGTAGGACCAGCTTGGGTCAAAATCATAGGGTACACAAACCAACCCGACATTATCCAGAAAACACATCACAACCAAACATTACGATGGTGTGTAATGTCTGTTTTGTGATTTCTGGGAAATTGTTGCCCCCAACATGCCTCTTGAGACTGCACACAGTGTTATGGTTTTATTTTATGTTTTCTCCAATATAAACTATGTCGAAACTGAGATTTAAAGCTGATTATTTGGCAAAAACATTATCAATTAAATACCAATGCATATACCAATAGTAGGTTAGTATTATATTTACAGGTTAAACATTTTTTGTAAATCTATGCTATTTAAAGTGTGCTTCTCTAACTGAAATTATGTTTCTGAAGTATAAAAATTAAAACATTTCTGAAATATTTACATTCTTCAAATATGTGTATATTAAAATTAGTTGAAGATTACAAATAAATAGTATATTTCAAACAAAAATGATCTTTTCCTCCCTTAAAACTAAAATATTATCAATCCTTAAATATAAAGATTAAAACAGTAAGTGTCTTTGATAATATACAGATATATAAGCAACATTTAAACTGATTAGGCACACTCATCAGTGATTATAGACTACTTTGTGAGTATAGGGAAAAATTTTCTTCACACAAGTACTACTTTAAGAGCATTTAAGTATCAGTTAGTTCACTAAAACAGTTAAAAATACTATTGTATATGTCTATTAGGCAGATGTTAGTGAAGTAAAGTCTGCTCAGTAATATGTAACAAGGCTGTAGGTGCATGGCCTGTCACTGAAAGCCAGTGTCCTCAACCGCAAAGAAGTGCTGATCATCCACCGTTAGCATTAGCTTTTGCCAATGAAACTTAAGCCTTTTCGGTTTGTCTTTGAGAAGCTCTTCGCGTTTCTTAAAGTGTCAAACTAATTTTCTTGTAATTCTGAAGAAAGAATTTTCTGGGAAGAAAAATCTTGCTAAGTTACCTTGTAAAAATGGTGAAGGCACCTATTAGTAGTATATAGTATTAGAGTTGGCAAAAAGTTTGGAAAATGCAAAATATACTTTTGTACAAAACAAAATGACTAAATGGGTCTGATATGATGGCTTATGCACAAATATATTGTTTTTCTATGCTAATAATATATGTTTCACTGACACAGCCACTGA